CCCCCCCCCCCCCCCTTCTCACCGTATCCCGCTACATGATTGCAATTGCGAGCCACGCAGGGCCTGGCCCTCCCCCCGCGAGTGGCTCGCCGCAAGCAAGATGGAAAACGGGGCAGCGCGAACGGGGGCCATCGGCGGACACCGGGGCACGAAGCGCATCAGGGGTGCACCAAATTGGCCCCGAGTCCGCACGAGGGCGCTGCCGCTGCGGCCGTCGGCGAGATCCCCACGGAGCCACGATGCTTCAGAAGGGTGCGCCAAAATGGACTCCCGTCTGCATGCGCGCTGCCTCGGGGGCCTTCAGTGGAGCTCCCCGATGGGGCTACGATATTCGAGCCATCCGACTATGTTAAGATGTGTGTATACATGCAACGCAACGCGCATCACAACTGCCATGCAATGCGCATCCAGGTTACGATGTGAAACGACAGGCGCAATTCAGCCGATCGAAATGTCAAACCTCAAAACGGAAAGCATTCAAAACCGATGGTTTGATCACCAAAATCAAAGCCGACGTTTTCGGCACCAATTAGCCCACACACACACACACACACACCGCCCCACAGCTCGCGGCACCGAAGGCCCACGCGCTGGAGCCAGCCAGACTGGCGCGCGAAGTCCACTGGAATGGGGCGGAGTCCAACGCCCGTCTCCCGGGCAGGGCGGCACTGGAAGAACATGGCGCGATGGTGCGAAAGGTGGGGAACCCATTCCCTTACTCCAGCTGTCCAGAAGCTCGCTGCCACCCATGCTCGCGTAGATCCGATCCAGACGGGATCTTGCCTGAGCGGAATCATGCGTCATCGCTGCCTGGTGCATATCCTGGAACTTCGGGAGCAATCGCCCCCGCTCAGCTTCCTCGCCCCTGCCCCGCGCCCCGGCTGTCCGAGCGCTGTGCGTGGACACCCGGTCATGGTCATCCACGACCCAGTTGAAGTACCCGCTGGCGATGGTTCAGATGCCCCTCCCGCCCCCGACGCCCCAGGCCACCGAAGGACGGAGCGCGGCTTTCTGGCGACGAAGCGAAGCATGCAGCACGTCCTGAGAGGGAGCACCCTCGGGAGGGCTCAGACTGAGAGCATTGCCAGTCTGGAAATTTTCAACTACGAGCTCCACAGCCCCTCGCGGGCCTGCGAGACGCAGGCGCGCAGCGCGCCCTGGAAGGATGACGCGCCACTCGAACTCGGCGAAGTTGTCGAGGAAAGTTCGGCGGGCCAAGATCCCGACCCCGGCGGGCGGCGCAGACCCGCGCGACCGCCATGCACGGCACCCCTGCGGAGGTAGAGCCAGTGACAAGGATGCCCCCGTGCCGCGTGTCTCGGCAACCGTGGTCACGTCGCGCTGAGACGCGAGGCGGCAGAGGCAGGACCACTTGCGGCCGTGGGTCGCGACGTCCGCCGCGAACAGCGCCCGGGCATTCCAGGAAGCCAGCGACACATCCCCCTTGAAGGGGGCAGCGAGGCGAGGCGCCCGCCAGCGCGGCCCCTTCTCTACCAATGGGCCCATTCGAAGAGGAAGAGGTAGCGGGAAGAGCCCGCTGCCGTTGGGGAGGGCCGAGAGCTCGGCGGAATCGGCGGCTCTGAAGAACGCTGAAATGTACATCCGCGCGCCCATGCGCATGAAGAGCGTGCCCCTGAGCAGTAAGTTGGAGAAGAAGAAGCGGTGGAAGACGACGTGGAAGGTCGCGTAGGCCATCGCGGGCGGCAGCGGCAGCGACAAGTTCTGAATTAGCCTCCGCGGCGACGTTGGCCACGCAGGTCGCGCCAATCGGAATGGGCAGGACCTGCAAGACGACATCGACGAGGCGGGGCGAGCGCGAAACCGCCCAGAAGGCCCCTGGCGGGGAGCCAAGAACCGCGTCGCCGGGAGGGGGGATGGCCATCGCGCGCCCCCCCCCCCCCCCCCCCCCGCAACGTTCCCCGAACTTGCGATCAGACTCTGTGCGTCGGCCAAGTCATTGGATACCTGTATCCCCATGAGGTCCGTGCCGATCCGAATCGCCTTGCCGCGCAGCGCCTCCTGGACTTTCTGGACGCCGGCCGCGTCCTTCAAGAATAAGCCGACCCGACCTGGGGGAGCCCGGGAGTCCGTCTCGGCCAGCCGCCTGCATGGTCTCAGCGGTGGCCTCGCGAAGTTGAATACCACCCGCACTGGAGAGGTGAACCATCACCTACTGGAAGCTGGAAGACCACGGCCTCGTCGGTGCTGGCGTAGCCCCGGATATCGACATCAGCCACGGCCTCGAGGGCGGCTGCTCGACGGGACCGCGGGCCGCGCAGACGGCGCAGGGCAGCAGGTTGTTACGGGGTGGCGGATGGAACTGCGAATGGTCGTCCTCCGTGACGGCACGGCTTGTACTGGGGGCGCTTCAGCACGGCCGTCTCGGGGTCCTCCTGCAGCGCCCTGTCCATGAAGACGCGCCAAACGTCCGTCTGTCTCTGATTGGATCAATGCCTTCCCGGACGCGAGGAGAATGAGACCGCTGCGCAACGGCCAGGCCTTGCACGCTGCGCCGGGGTGCGCAAGCTCGGCAAGGAAGGCCGCCGGGTCCGAGAAGAGCGCACGTGAGCCGTAGAACGAGTCGGGGGGCAGCGCCGCGCTGCGGGGGCGACGCACGTGGAGTTCCTGTCCCAGAGCTGTGATGGCCCTGTCGAAACGCATATCCACGGTGATGCGCGGGACCTCGGCAGCGTGGCCCGGACGTCGTGTAATCCGGCCATTCGTCGCACACCGCATGCCAGGATGTCTTCGAGAGAGAAGAGGGGCTCCTCCACGCTTAGCATCTCGGGGGGGGGGCCTTCGGGAGGCACGTGGAGATGGTGAATATCGCGAAGCCCTTGAAGTCATGCTGCGGACCCACGGAGCCAGGAGACACGAACTCTATGGGGTGCGTCACGAAATCCACCTGCCGGAAGAGGGCTGCCCACTTTTCCCCCAAAAAGGGGCGCAACCAGAGATCCCGGATGGCGTCGACCGAGTCACACCGAGGGAAAGTCTCCAGCGGAGTGATCATACGGATGTACTGCGGGAGTGAACCGCCGCTGGAACGATTCAGCATGTGTTTTCGGAGGCGGCCCAGCGCCGAGGAGTCGGTGGGGGCCCAGATGATGACCGGCGCGTTCCGCAGCAGATCCCAAAACGAGTCGTCCACCTTCTCGGCCGATTCGGCAAGACGCCGAGCTCCATCGAGGGTAAGAACACGGTCATCGGCTTGCTCCCGGAGACGTGGGGGGCCTGTGCCGAGCAGCGCGGACCATTGCGTAGCGATACGTTCCTGTGGCGACGGGGTTGTGTCGTGCACCGCGCAAAGAGCCCGTGGCCCAAGCTCCTTCCACAGAGGGAGCCTGCTGGGTTTCAGCCTACGACGTTCCCTGCGCCAGCCAGCGAGGGAGTTGGCGCAGTCCTGGACGGCCAGCTCGAGCTTCTCCAGGAAGGGGGGGACCAACTGCTTGTAGCTCTGTGACCAGCGCGGGCCCTCAGCAGCAGACGAAAGCAGCCGGGCAATGCGGGCTTGCGATTCGAGCATGCCGAGCGTCGGCTCAGGCCATTCCAGCGGGCTGAGCCCCAAGAACTGCCAGCAGTCAGACGAGGTCGGGTCGTAGGCGAGTCCCCGCAATACCGCCATAAGGTCGACGAAGGTCGCCAGCGTGGATGCGGCCGAAAGTGGCGGGCTCTGCCCTGTCGCCTGAGCGGCGCGGACGAGCTCGAAGTAACGCAAAATCCCCTTCTCCAAGAGATCATTGAGCTCATTTGGCAGCGGCTGGGGCACCGAGAGCGGCTGGGCTACTGCAGCGACTCCTGGAACTGCAGCGGTCTCGGCGGCAGTTGCGGCGGCCGGGACAGGCGCGAAAGCTGCCTGGAATCCTGGGGCCGTCGCAGGCGCAGCCAGGGGAGGCAGCCCAGGGGCACGCGGCCCGTTCGGCGGGTCGACCATCGTAAGTCCGGCAGTGGCCTGCGTCAGCCCAGACTCGCACTCCTCCATGCTCGTGTCAGGACCCGGGATCGGATCGGGCGCCAACTGAAGCACTGTCCCGCCCGCAGGGCTGTGGCAAGAACTGTCGGGGCAAGCGCAAGCGTTTTATTTTGCGGCGCAAGCGACAAAATTTTCTTGTTTTACGCGAGCAAGGGTTTTATTTTGCGGCGTTGGGCTCCCTGGCGCGAATGGCCGAACGACACCCGTCGCGGGACACTCTGGCGACGAGGTAGACCGCAACAAAAACAATCGATGCAACGCCGGCCGCGCAAAGGCGGTGCCCGCCATGACATCCCCCCCCCTAGTCGTCACCCCCGTCTTGGCCGCCCCCGATTTTGCTACTTTCGGCACCTGCAGGCCCTTACCAGGCCCGAGGACCATCAAACAACTACTCAGGAGGAAAAACTGGTCCTGGGGAATGGTTCGAGACCTCTGGGATCGCATCGCCGATGCGTCGCCGATGCGCCGTCGGGACGGAGAAGATTGGACCCCGGATCGCGCCGCATTGCCAATGCATCGGCGATGTGGCGTGATCCTGCGACCCCGTCTGCTCTGGCCCCTCTCTGGAAGGCCCAGGTCTCCGCGCCCACCCTGGCAGCCAGGCCGGGGAACAGGCCCTTCAGCAGCGACGACTGGTCGAAGAAGGCCAGCGCGCACTTCTCCTCGCCCTTGGCAGCCTCGTCGCCCCTGGCAGCCTCGGCCTCTGCCGCGGCCTCCGGCCGCGGCGAGGCGGAGGCGGGAGATGGACGGGTGCAGGGTGCAGGGGGGAGATGGATGGCGAGCCAGAACGCGTCATGCCACGTCGACGTGCGTTGGGGCAAATACAGACTCGCAACATGCGATCACAAGGCAAGAACGGATACGCGCAGGTCTTCACATCTCGGTGCCTCCGTGCCCCCTGGGGGCGAGGGAGTGGGAGGACGAGGAGGAGGGGCAGAAGGAGGGTGAGGGGGTGGAGAAAGGGACAGTGAGGAGGATGAAGATGGGAGCGCTCGTGCCACGGCCGACTGCAGAGCAGCCCAGCACCGCGTCGGGAAATCAGATCAGAGCGGAACGCGCGTCGGCTCGGGCCGCAGCGGCACGGAGTCGGAGCCTGGGCCGGAGCGGCCGCGCCAGGAGGCACGGCGGCACTGTGCAGGCGCCGGGTCGCCTCAGATCGACGGAGCACCGGGACATCGAAATCGGATCCCAGGTCAATCCTCCTCCTCCTCTCCTCCTCCTCCACCTCGCGCATCGCGCCCCGCGGTGCGCAACCCACGGTGACCTTCGCGCCCTCGCGCCGCCACCCTGGCGAAGGGCGCCTCTCCGACCCGAGCCGCGATGCGCGGAGCTGTCTCCGCGAAATGGGGATCGGGCTGGCCGAAACCGATCTGGAATCGTGCTGAGATGGACACGGGACGGAGGAGAACCCCGTTCCCCCGTGTCACGGCCAACTCGGGCTACAGCGGGGACCGATCCACAAGAAACCTTCCACAGGAAACCCCACCCTGAGATCCCAGGACGCCCATTGATTTTTGGTGTGGGAAGGTCACGCTTTCCATCGCAAAAAAAATCGGAACCCAAGAAACCCAGGGCACCCGGGAGGCAAGAAGGGTGTTTCTTGACATGAGTCTCCACTGTACCAGCTGGACTGCGGAGCACCCTCGGCGTCGATGCTGTGCATTGCGGTGGCTTGCTGCGCCTCTTCCTCTCGCTTCTCCCGCTCCTGGTCTGGGCGTCAGCCTTCGTGCCATCCGCACGTGCGTGAGTGGGGCGGACTAGGGGGCGAAGGTCAAGGTGTAGGCGTCAGGGAGTCTGCTGGTCAGAGCCTACTGTGGTGGGCGGTTCCCCACGGGTTCTATGGATACCAGACCCCTGCGCGGCTCGATGCGCACACGAGGGTTCCCGTGGGGTCCGCCCACCAGGTCCCCTGGGGGGGGGGGGGGGGGGGGGAGCCACGTCGGCAGGTGGCGACCTGCCTAGAAATCTGCAGGAGGCGGGGCGAGGTCCGACCAACTTTTGCAGGGCGGAGTACGAGGGGGAGGGAAAGGAGGGGGGAGGTGGGGCGCGCAATTCTGGGTCACTCGAGCACTCGAGCACGCAGTGTCAAGCTGGCCCTAACGGCCTCGACAACCAGGTGAAAGTATTGCAAGAGGGGTAACCCCCTGTGCAGAGCAGCCTAGACACGCCACTTGCCTTTTCGCAATCGAAGTTAGCGTGGCTTACATGCGGAACCTCGCGCGCGCGGTGCCGAGTAAATGTCGCAGCGCAAATGCACCGTGCACTTTGCCAGTGAAACGCCCCACTCCAAGAGGCCCCCGAGGCGCCTGAAACGTCGGACGGGCCTGGGAAGCAGCGCTGCGCGCTAGCACCACACATGGCGCGGATGCGCTGCGCGCGGATGTCTTGGATCGGCGTTGGCCCCCCTGGCGGCGCCTCCAACGCCGTCCCTGCGCGCTTCGCACATCACGGAGGGGGGGTCCAGCTCGGATTGAGAAATTCGCGCAGACCCCATCCGAAAGCTCATACCTGTGCCGTTGTTTCGTCTTCGTTTCACGGGCCTGGGGCCCGAGACTGGAAACCTCGCAACGTTGGTCCTAACAGATGGGGTCGGACGACCGCGCCGCATTCGCGAATGCACCGCTGATGCATCGGCGATGCCCTGGCGTCGCGCGCCAAAACAAGGTGACGCCAGTAGGACAGATGTTGATACAGTTCAGGCTGGCGATCCAGCGCCGCCCATTACAAGCCATGGACAGTCTGTTCGCTCTAGCTCTGCCATCCGAGGGACGCTGCTCTGGGCCAGGCTTCGAGCCCAAAGGTGCTTCTGACCCCTCCTCGGCGAGGACGGACGCACTGAAACACGAACTCGGAGAACCTGAGAACGGGAGTGATGCGCGGCATGTCTTCAAGTCTCGGCCCCTCGGGCCACGGCCGACGGCAGACCCTTCCTCGGAGAGGGAAGGGGGGCGCCCGTCCCTCGCCGGCGGCGACGGGCGGCCTCCGCGTCTGGCGGCAGCGAGGGCTCGCACAGCGCGAGGAAGCCCGCCGAGCTGCAGAACACCTGCGCGCGCTCCGGGCAGCAGCACGCTTCTTACCCAGCGGGCGGTGGATATGGACAGATGTTGGCCCCCGGGGGCCCGAATATATCCAGATCCACCGCCTGAGGAGGTCCGCGAAGATCGATCCCACAGGCGGTGATTACGGATAAATCCCCGCCTCGGAGGGGTAGGCAACTCACCCTGTGACTGAGCCTACACTAGGGCTCGAGCACAAGAAACCTTCCACAAGAAACCCCCGCACCGTCCATCGATTTCTGGTCTGGGAAGGTCACGTTTTTGCATAGCTGAACCATGGAAACCCTAGAAACCCAAACTCCACCGACATCCAGTAGGACACGGACGGCCCTGTCTCTGGCCGCACCTCTTGCTGGCTGCTCCCTGGACGTGGATTGGACTACCACCCCAGGCCGCTTCGGACCACCCGGTGGCACGACGCTGCACATCGCCTTCGTGGTCCTCCTCTTCTCCTGGGCCCCTCCTAACCATCCGGTGGCACAACGTTGCTCATCGCCTTCATGGTGACTTCTCCCCCCTGGACGTCGACCTGGTCGCGTACTTCCTCACGCAGCACTTGAGGATGGTGCTTGCGAAGCGCCGTTGACGGCAACACCACACCGCTCACCCTCCGGATCTTCGCCTCCGGCTCCTGTCCAAGGCGTTCCTTTTCCTGCGCAAGCTCCTCGGCACCGCCTGCACCCCGGCCCGCCTTCCGGCCGCCTGAGGCCCCGCCCGCCTGTGCTCTGTTTCCCCAATTAGAACTGTGCGTAGCCCGCCTAGCTTTGAAACGGAAGAGGTTCGCTCTCGCCCCGCAGACCAAAAAAGTACGCAGAGAAATACTGCAAAAGATCAATAGGGCACCAAAGGGGGCCGAGCAAAAAGAAAATACGGTGCCAGACAAGTGTCTGGCTGCACTCGGGCGCAGGGGTCGGTCATTGGGGATATCCGAACTGTCCGAGGCTGGTATGGGTGAACATTTAGGGTGGACACCGAATACGAAGCGAGCAACTTCTGGAGGCTCTCTTGGGCCACCTTGGGGCGGTCTCGGTCTGCGATCACATGATTGCCTTTGTCGGGCACAGAAGACTCCTGGCCCACTTGTTCCATCTCGGGAAGTCTCCAAGCCTCCTGGACACATGCAGGAGAGAGAGCGTCTTGAAGGGTTCTTGGGGCTGTCGTGGGAGCCTGTTGGGCTGTGTCTGTTTCTGGGGTCTCTTGCGGCCGCGATGGTGCCGTCATGGGTGCCTGTTGGGCCATACAGCGACACAGGAGGTCATCCTAGGGCTGCGTGGGGTTCCCCAGGAGACCTGCTCGAATCCATCTTGGGCTTCCTCTCGAGCCGCCTCGGGGCCTCCTGGACGGTCGTCCGACTGGCGTGGCAGCAGCTGGTCGTGTCTTGCTCTCCGAGGGGAGGCGGAGGAAGAAAATACTCACCCCATCGCGCGGACGACCGCCTCCAGAAAACTCCCTGGGTCCTCGGAGGGCCTTCCTGGGAGGCCCAGAAGAACAGAGGGAACAGAGGCGCCGAAGAGCGCCACAAAAATGAATGGCCCAGACAGGGCGAGGGTGGACGAGGAACAGACGACGCCGGCGACAAGGCCGCAGCCGGCCGTGGCAACGGCTGGCGAGGCCCTCGAGAACCCGCCGGCCAAAGGGGGTGGGGCCTGCCGCGGCTGCGCCACGCAGGGCCAGGCTGCCGGGTCGCCCTGGCGGCGCGGTGTTCCGACGACAACGACGACGACGACGACGACGACGACGACGACGACGACGACGACGACGACGAGGATGGAGAGGGCGCTGGCGACGGAGAGGACGGCGACGACGACGGCGACGGCAGCGACAACACTGGCGACGGCGGCGGGACTCTAACGGGCTGGTGGGGAGTTGGGCGAACAGTGCCTGGGCGGGCCGGGCGGGCGGGACACAAAAGCGAGGCCACGCTGTTGAGGTCCTGTGCGCGAAGAGCGCGTGCGCGGGCGGGGAAGGGGGTGCGAGGGCGCGACGGGAGTGGTATGGGACGCAGAAGGTGCGCCCCCCTGAGGCGCAAGTCCGCACCGAACAGAAAGTAGAAACATACGATACGTACCCCAGCTGTATGGCCAGAAAGCGCTCGGCACATGTTCGTATACTACAGGATGTCTGAGCGCGCGCGTCACCCCTTGGGGGCCGACGCACACATTATATGAATGTGTTTGGGTGATACCGAGGGTTGTACCAAGAGTGAGTCATAGACGACGGCAAGCATGCTGATCAATTCGAATGGGGATGAAATCGGAATCTCTGAGAGCCAGCGGCTCTGGAGGACGTATTGTTCTGGAACGCTGTGGATCGACTTGTGACTATCCTAGAGTTGCCTGAGGGTCGTCGCAAGTCGCAAAGGCGCACGGCGAGAGGAGGAGAGAGAGAGAGAGACGGGGCAAGAGACAGGAGACAGGGGGCAGGCTGAAAGAGGCAGGGAGGCGGGAGAGAGGAGAGGCGGGAGGCATGAAACGAGAGGCAAGGGACAAGGGGAGAGGGGCGGAGACAGACAGCGTCTTGAATTGCACACTGCATGAAATGCTCTGCTGACAGCCAAAGACCCGCACATCCAATGTCTTGGCGTTGTCAATACGGACCCCAGACGTCCCGACCCTTTTACCTGGGGCCATGTTTTCGTCCCAGCCGTTCTTGACCGCCCCACAACCATCCGCGAAACTTAACGCACGTATTGCCGACCCCCCACTCGCCGCCAAGTTCAATGTTCAATTGCGTGCGCGGCGCGGTGCGTGGACGCCGTCGGAAAATTTGAAATCACCTGTTTCGGTATCACCATTGAAATTCGGGAGTCTGGGGGCGCCGACGCGCCGCGGGGTAGGTTTCACGGCGGGATGTAGGGCCCAGAGAGGCCCCAGAAAAGCCGAAAGCAGCCAAAAACCTGCCGTCGTGATTTCGTCACGCCGCGACCATGCCTGGGGAGAGAGCCGGCCTCCCACGGACGTACATTCTCGAGCAACTCACCGGAGCCTCCCATGCCATCTTGCCCCCCATATCATCTTGCTGGCTCTTGCGAATCGACGCTGACCGACGCGAACCGACGCTAATCGACGATAACCGACGCATATCGACGCCACATCGACGCTAGTCAACGCTACGTCGGCGCCTTCTCATCGATTACCAGACGTAGCGAACGCCAATGCACTCCAAATGAAACTGGTACGACCCCAATTACGGGATTTCCTTTTTGTGGAAGTGGTAGCATCACGTCCGGGCGGATGGCACCCCTGGAGCCCTCGGGCGCGCTTGAGCCACACGGCTGCGAGAATCACCGTGGCATGGTGGAGACTGACGTGGTGGCATGATTGCATGTGCGTGCAACAGCGATCGCGTGGCACCGTCGAATCTGTTGTGGTGGCGGCGGGTTCCCCTGAGGAACCCGAGAGACCTCCGAAGAATGAGCAACGTAACAATACGAGGCACTGGGGGCGAGGAACCTGGGGAACCCGAGGAACGGGAACGTCCGAGCAACGGGCAACGTAAGAATCCGAGGCACCAACCTGTCACCGAGTCAGAACCCCGTAGGCAAGCCCATGTGGGGAGCAAGGACGATTCCGAGGGCACACAAGGCCCCCATGAGCTGCGAATTACCGAAGGGGACAGCCTCCCACGGACGCACAGGCCGCAGCAGGAGGGGCAGGCCCCGCAGCGGCGAGGAGGTCGAGCGCGCGAGCCCGGCCGCCAGTGAGCCCGAGCCCCGGGCTCCTCGCCCTGCCCCACGAGGGCGTGCCGACCGATCCGCCATGGCCTCGATCCTCCCGGGGACCTCCGTACTCAGAGGACCAACAAGTACGGCACAAGCATGGGATGTGCACTACCAGCATGCCCCCCGCGATGAACGAGATCCGGATGTGCAGCCAGGGGCCACGAGCACCCGACGCGAACCCGGACCAGCCCTCCCGCGCCGAGCCGAGGGACAGAGAGACTGAGAAAAGCATACTATCCTGCAGCGTCTCGAGGGAACGTCCGCCGAATCGCATAGCACCCATGAACAAGAGAAGAGCTGCATAAGCACAAGCATAAGCTCCCAGAGGTCCGCACAGAGTTCTGGGATCGACGCTGGGCCCGAAAGGCCCGGGCTATGGATGTCGTGTCTTTTGACGGCTCCGACGTTTAACGGCCCCGGGCCCACGGGGGCCCGCAAGGGCCCCCCACCGAGGCCGAAAATGGCCGAAAGCCCGCGGTCGTAATGTTTTTATTCTCCACCCGGGGGTGGCCCAAGTTTGAAGCAAATTGTACAGGAAGCGAGCTGGGTCCAACAGGCGGTCAGTGAGGCACAGGCAGGGGCAGGATGGGAAGAGGGGGGGAGGGCCGCGGGACGGCCTAAGCACCCTCAGACCGTGAAGCACATCGGGACGTGACGGAGGCAGGCTCACGTAATTACTCGTCGCTGTCAAGCGGGGGGCAAGTCAGGACCGCACACCCAGGGTGAAGACGAGGAGCTGTGCGAAGCCCTACACAGAGAGCTCCGGGCACACTGCACAAGACAACAAATAAACCTCCACAGAAGATTGCCTTGGGCGGCACCGGCCCGCGCCGTCCTCCGCGCCGTCGACGCTCAGCAGCTGCGCGATCTTGTGGCCCCGGCGCACGTCCTCGGGGCACCCGCCCTGGACGGGGGAGGGCCAGGAGCGGCCACAGCCGACCCCTCCCGCGGATGAGAGAACAACACACACACACACACACACACACACACACATTCTAGAGGAACAAAAAACAGCATAAACATGAACTGTTGCCAATCCGCGCGGAGATTTTGAATCTGCGCTGAGCCTAAGCGCCGATCAAAAAAATCCGCGCGGACACTTGAAAATTCGTGTATAACGTATGACCCCCTAACAATCACATATACAGATCGGCGAGTTTCGAAAACCCTGAACCCAAGAAGCCTTGCACTCTCTTGGGGGGTCAACCTTGCCCTCCGCCAGTTCCCGCCGGCCCTCCACGGGTATCCCCCGGCGGTGGCGCCCTCCTCTTGCTTTCCCGCCGGTGTCCGTCGATTTGTTCGCCGCCTTTCGCCGAGGAAGAGGCGCCAAATTGAGGGCGGGTGGTTTTCAAAATGTGGTTCTCACCTTAGCGCGGCGCACATTCGTTGTAAAAACCACAAGAAAGCTTCGCGGATTGAGGGCGGGTGGCTTTCAACATGTGGCTATCGCCCTAGCGCGGCGCACATTCGTTCAAAAATGTGCAACAGCTTCACAGATTGCGGGCGGGTGGTTTTCAAAATGTGGCTCTCAGCGCGGCGCACACTCGTGGTAAAAACTTGCAAGAGCTCCACGGATTGAAGGCGGCTCCTTTTCAAAATGCGCCTCTCGCCTTACCGCCGCGCACATTCGTTCAAAACATGTGCAGGGTTCTCACGGATTCTCATCAGCAACATACCAGCAATTGCTCTTTGAGAGGATTCAGGTTTATGCTGGCGCAGCAATTATTTTGATTCACTGTGTAGAAGCCTAAATGAAAACAATGGCGTCCTGCCATTACGGAGACGCGTTGAACCACTTGCTGTCGCACTCCGTACACTGATCTCCGCAAGGTCGTTTTCCTCGTCCGTTGCTGCCGAGTCCGTTGCGCGCCTGTTCTCCGCATCTTTTCCTCGCCGAAACTTGCCTCCAGACTTCTTGCCTTTTCCGCCGTAAGAACCGCCGTAGTCTTCTCCGTATTCATCAGGATACTCCTCTTGCCAATCTTCGTCTACTTGATCATCGTAGGACTCTTTCTACGTCCAAGTCTCGACCAGAATCATAGTCATACCAATGATCGTCCTCGTTCCAGTAACGCTCGGCATTCCAAACGTCATCGCAATACTCTTCCTCGCCGGTCCTGGTGTTGTACTGCTTGTATCCGCGGGACTGGTCGTACCTGGCTGACTCATTCTTCGAGATCTGAAACTGAAGAGCGATCATCCCAAGATCACGCGTGAGGTCGCCGCCGACCTTGAGTCGTAGATCTGCGAGTTGGCGTTCTGGAGTCCCTGAACGACTGAAGAACAACCAGGCCTTGCCGCTGTCGCCGATGGCGAGACCTCCGTGCTTCTCAGCCTCCGAGTAGAGGCGCTCCCATTCAACTACATAAGTAGAATTTCCACGTCGTAGGGCTTCACAGAAAAAGGAATACGTCGAGAATGGTCCAGGCAATGTCATGATTATCAAGATACTAGAGTTCCGTCAACTTCGCAATCGACACATTGACTCCAGAAGGATCAGGAGGCGCCAGTTGCTGTCCAGCGTTGGGCTCGTTGATGGCTTCTTGAGCATCGAGTGACACTGCCTCGATGCCCTCGTACGTCGTCTGCTGCATCGTGTTGGGGTCTGGCCTCTGAATGGTCACACCGATGGCAATCCCTAGCGCTTCTCTCTCCTTCGAGTCTTGACGTGATCGCGGGTCCTAGCTGTTCCTGATCTAGCTTGGTCAGCCAGCCCCAGATAGCAAGATATGGTCGGCGCCCCTTGATCGGGCAGGCCCTGGGCCTCCATCCCGGGGGCGCACCCTTCGTGCACTGTCGAAGACCAAGCTGAGAGGTTGCTGTCGCCTGCTGCATCTTGCGATATAGGTGCTACAGCTGATATTGAGAAATACGCGAAACCAATCCGTCAACTTGTGGTATCAGATGTAGATCTGCAACCAATCCAGTGCACTGTAGTAGCTACGGTCCTGATGCAAGTATGAAACCAACCTGTCTGCTGCGCAAGCCCGATAGGCACGCGCGCGTGAGCGCGCGGCCCGTGGGAAGGGCCTCCGTAGAGGCTCCGCTACCAAACTCGGGATATCGATGAGAATCAAATCCAAGAATCAAGATATTGGTGAGAATCGAATATCAGTGAATCTGCGATATTCAATAAGATATCGAAGGTAACCTTTTTCATCTAACGGCTAGAGCGCAGTAGCAAGGCAGCAGGCAGGCAAGAGCGCAGCCTAGAAGCCTAAATCTGGGACTAGCAGTCCGGGGCCCCTAAGGGCTCTTTGAAGGGGTCCGCTCGAGCTGCCCATCTTACATCAGAATTCGAACCCCTCGGGGGCCCGCGGGGTCCTCTTGGGACGGCGGAAGCCCAAAGCGCCTCCGCTGGAAGCGGGGAAGGAGGCGGCGCAGCGCCGATTTCCATTCGTCCGCGTCGCACTGCGACGCGCGGAGGGCCAGTGGAGCTGCAAGCTCCAGAGCCGCGGCGCGCGCCTCCTGTCACGTCGCAACGGCTGGCGCCCACACTTGGGTCTTGCGGATTTCTACGTGAAGGTAGAGGTGCACGTGGCCGCGCTTCCCCCCAGGGTCTCTGTCGAGCTGGCGGCAGCACTGCTGGTGCAGGCACCTCATCAAAGGGGTCGTCTGGTACTGCCGCTGGCGCAGCAGCAGCAAGTGTAGTTGCCCCCTCCGCCAGCGCCCGCGCAGCCGGCGGGGCTTCTCCACGGTTGTCTGTTTTTTTGCCACAGTTGGACAAGCCTACACTTACCTGCTGCGAGCAGGTGGCCCCGCATGTTTTGGCCATCGTCCTCGCTGCAGCTCGGGCATGCCCAGTAATTGGATCCCCTGTCATACCAACGGCATCGACGTGGGTTTCAGTTGCGACTTGGTGAATCACTCGAACATTCTCGATGCAAGCTGGGCAGCCAAGTCGCCCCCAGCGGTACCGCAGCGCCATCGCGATCAAATCCAGTACTGTTGACCAAAGGTGTTTGTGCAATGCCTGTCGGCAAATGGGTTGTTGCCTCGCGCATAAGGGGACTTTGCAATATGTCTTGAGGCTACGATCAATGATTGCATCCTTCGAGTGCACTGGGCATCCTGCGCCAGTTCTCGGTTGCACGCTCGGGCGCGTTCACGATTACCAGAGACCTTTCTGTTTTCGAATAGCAGGAGTATAGCATGGCGATTGGCCATGCTTTCTGTAGGTTTCTTGATGAGAGCGCCATAGGGATAACGTAACCCTGTCGAGCACTGGTCTACTATCCGCTTGCAAGTGGCCGTGCGTTTGGCTTGTGTCGTCCAGGGGGGCATTTTCTCCTGCCCAGGTGCCAACCGGCTGTTCCCTTGGGAACACGCGTTGAAGGTCGCCCTGCATGACGGCTACTTTCCCGCAGAAGGTGATGTAGGGGTGGTCCTCGCTGTGGTGCTTGCACCACGTGCCGTTGTTGATTTGGGAGTTCGAATACGAAGGCAAACCGACAGTTCTGCAGATAGTACAAATATTGTGACAAAGCACGCATGCAGATAGTGCTCCACAGCCTGCTGCACTTGTGAATTGCCCCGGTCAACGTTGCCACGTTTGTCTAAGCCACCTGGAGAGATGAGCTTCCTCTTGAAGGCGAATTGCGATACGCCGCCGGCGCCTCCCCATAATTCTAACATGTCTACACCGCTGCCCCTTCCATGACATAAGGAAAAGACAACGGAAAATACGTCGGCATGCGCGCCCGCAATACCGCTTGGGAGAATTAAGAACAGGCCGTCGTCATCGTCGGACTCCCGCTCTCCTACTAGAACGTCGGAGAGCAGCGCGGGATCTCCTAGACCCTTGAGGTCGTCACCACAGTCGCCGTTGCCATCTTCAACGTGTTTGGGAATCTCCTCTGGTTTGATGTTAGCTTCCTGATCAGCTTTTTGTTCTCTGGTTGCATTATCCGGGCATCAAAAAGCAATGCTGTTTGTGCGTTCGGCGTGTCCACCAACGTCGGAAAAGTTGGAATTTCGGGTAGGCCACCGTCGTCAAGCCCAATTGAGAGGGGAAGAGACCGATCATCTTCTATACCGTAACTCGTTCCTTGTGGCTTGGTGGCGCATGCCCGTGTCCGAGCAACGATGGGGGAGCCGTTCCCCGATGCATTCATTCTCGCACATAGATTCCGGAATCCGCTCGGCAGTGGTACTTTCCACTTGCAACCGGTCGGCTGGTCTTTGATTTCGATACATTCTACCACCTGCCTTTTGGCAAGGTCAAGTGTAAAGCGGCGCAGAACGTCGTCTGGAGGTGGCCCAGTGTCGTCTGGACTGTAGATGATTATGAACGTTCGTATCGGTGCGAGTGAAAGCTTGTCGGTAAGCTTGCGTTCTGTCTCTGTTTGTATCCTTTGAAAAAGGTCCACAAGTTGTGCCGTCAGGAATGTCATTGTCTTGTTTCGCCATTCGGCGTGTTGCTGGTCGTGTCCGTACAAGCCTAATACATCTCCACAGTGTTGGGTAATTTCGCGCACGATAAAAATATCTGCACGCAGGAGCCACTGGGCCTATTGCTGACACGATCCAACGTGATCGCGCAATCGCATGGGCGCATCCGGATGTCTCTGAGTTCGAAGCGTTGGAAAGCTTCCTGTATTGGAGCAGACTTCAAGAAGTATCCAGGCAGTCCTGCCAAAACTATGTGCGTGCTGAACGCTTGTGCTTTTGTCAATAGGTCACGTATTATCTCATAGCGCGGCCTGGCCAGTTTGCGCGGCAACCGAACATGCCAGTCAGCGGGAGCGGCCACGCAAAGCAGAGCGCAGCCTCCAGATAGTATTCATCCGAGATGTTGCGCCTCCATCGATGTCATTACCTCGTTGCGCGTGATACGATCGCACGCATACCTTCCACGGCGTAGTTCGGCGAAAGCCATACGTATATCTTCTATAACCTAAGCTTTGGAATCATACACTTCGTGGCGCGTGTGCCCACGCTATCTTGAATTGTAAGGCACGCGTCCGCGCCTCTGGCCTCCTTGGGGCAGCACGCAGGCTCGGCCAGGGGCCCGCCTGCCCCCGTCAACGAGGGCCATCTACACGGGGAAGGATGCCCGGCGTTTCGTCGCTCGAGCACGCCCTGCCCACGTTGGCGCCCTGCTCGGCGGTGTTGTGCGACGACAAGCTAGGATCCCCGATGTGGGGGAATTGCGGTACGTTCTCCGCAGTCGGGATGGTGCCCCAATCCTATCTGGGCGCGGCCGCCCTCGACGCGTTGGACCTGCCGGTGAGCCAGTCGCTTGCCTCCTCCAAATGTGGATGGGGGACATGCGTCGGCTGCTTCTTTCACCTTGTGGTGGGCGCCTGCAAGCAGCATCCCCGTCGTCTCATAGCGATCCACTGGGCGATCAGATCGATGCCAATGGCCCAATGATGAGCTGGCCACCACGGCGATCGCGTCGTCCACGGCCTGACCCATGAAGCGGTCCAACGCTTCATGATTGTACTCGCCAGTGTTCCGGCGCGCTTGAAGGCCCCTCCACGGCGGGCCTCTGTCTCGCGCTGGAACGACACTGACGCGAGTGAACGTCTCAGCTGCTGACTCGCCCTCTGTTCCAGGAGTGGCCTCCCCATAGTTCGAACATGGGATGGCTAGGTGTCCCGAGGGCGCCTTTTCCGACATCAGAACCTGCGCGCCTTTTCCAAGCTGCCCCATGCACGCGCGCCGGCCCAGGAATCCAACGGCCCCCTGCCCCCTCCAAAATAAGGACTTCCCTTTTTCATTGCGTAGAGGTTTGGCCTGGGATGCCGGGCGGATCTGAGCCGGATCCCTCTGCGATCTTACCAACGAAAGCATCTGCCTTTGCGATCGGCGGCGCGCCACGACGCTGGCGCTCACGCGCGATCGCAAACGCCCCAAAGTCCGGCACATACCTGCGCCACTACCAACACCGTTGACATAGAGCAGCCTTTCCATATTCATGGCCTTCGGCATGTATCAATGCTGGCGGGATTGTTGGTCGAACTCTCGTGCTGCGTTGATGCCTATGATGTTGACGCTCGATCCAATATCAACCTGCGTACTTTGTTTTCCAGGGCTGAACGTTTTGATCTTTCCTGCTGAATACACATGCTGGCTGCCAGCTGGGGCTAAAATCGCACGCGTCTCCGCGCCCATCTGTCTTCTGAGCCTCCTCTGGTGGGCGATGAACTGATCCCTCGGTAGGTTCACAGTCGCAGGGCCCCAGTTTTTTTCTCTGTTAAAGGCGCTCGTTTCTCCCACCGCGGCAGGCACACGTTCAATCGCCCAATCGGCGCGCCTTCTGTGGATAATCGGTTCAGGCAGCGCGCTCGTTCCTTCGCCATGGGCGCGGATCACGTTGTCTTGCAGCATGAATGCTGCGGGTTGCTCATGAATCGCCTTTCTGCGACTAGTGCCTGTACTAAGGCCGCGTCGTTCGATGGGGATTATACCCTCCTGCTTTCGGCAGAGCACGGGCTGCGGCGGCGCCCTGTGCCCGCCTGCTGCCCCTGTTGTACTCGGCGGTAAAGCAGCGGCCTGTTGAAAGGGTTTGGCGCTGCACGCGCTGCAGGTGCCCCCGCGCCCAGCATCGATGGGGCGTCGACGGCAGGTGCCCCAGCGTCGTGCAGAAGCGGGAGCGGAGGTGCCATTGCTGGGGAGGTCGCTGGAACCATATGGCTCGTGGCCGAGCTTGTCGGTGGAATTGGCACTAGGACCTCATCCAACCTGCGGCGCAAGTCAGAAATCTCCTGAACCTGCTGAATGGCCACAGCTGCCGAGATCGATGTGTCGATCTGCCCCGCATATGGACATTCCGCCACGGCGGTTCCTGGCCTCCTGCATAAAACACCCGGAGCCTCTACGCCGGCCCTTGCCCTTCCTCTTGACACGTGCACCCGGGCGCTGCGGCCCCGGAAGTCGGCGCGACATCGGCGACCGCGCCGACGCCCCCACATCTTTTCGCGCAGCGCGAGAGGCTCGAGGCAAACGGCACACCTCGTGGAGGATAGCTGCCCGCGTAGGGTAGCTCACGTGCCTCGGTTTTCGCGGATAGCAAACCACAGCGATAAAAGGGGGGGCCAGGGGGGGGGGGGAACGCAAAGAAAGAGAAGAACAGACAGAAGAGAGAGAAAGAGAGAGAGAGAGAGAGAGAAAAAAAATAGAACGCTGC